GGTAGCTTTTTAATCCCGTCTTTGTAAAATGATTTCGGTTTTGAATCAAAATATTCAGAAATAGCCTTTTTTATATTGTTCTCATCCTCAAAAGTTTTTCCTTTTAAAAATTCTGCAAACTCTGAAAAAGATGATAATCACTGGGAGCAATATCTGGCAAATATGGTGGATGAGGTAAAATTTCCCAGTTGAAGCTTTTGAGTTGAGCAGTTGACGTTGTTGTCAGTTAGCTATTGACAGTTCATGTGGTATCCATTTTCCTAGCTTTGAAACTTTTCCGATTTGTTGTAGATGTCTATGAACAGTTCCATGGGATGAATTTAAACGTTCCGCAATTTCATCAACTGTTAAAGATGGTTCTGCTTCAACTAGTGCAGAGAGAGCATCATCATCAAAGTCAACGGGTCTTCCAGTACGAGCCTTATCCTCCACACTAAAATCATTATTTCTAAATCTTTCAAACCACTTCTGCGCAGTCCTTACACTAATTACAGTTTGATTATGAACAGTATTTAATTTTTTGGCTGCATTTGTAGCATTCTCATCACTTAAAAATAAAAAGTATAAAACATGTCTCTTATATTCATCTGTTACTTCCATTTTAACAAAACTAAACAACTGAAATGTTCCCAATTCTGAACAGTATTATATGAATGAGATCCAATTTAACACTTTAACATTTTAATATAAAAAGTATCACATTAGACTGGCATTTTTAACAGCAAAACAAGATTTTTCTCAAGATCATAAAATACGCACGAACTTATGGACTGACCTGATAGTTTTCTATCTATTTTGATGCGTATATGTATGCAGCTTTGTTGCTGTCTGTCTGAAAAGGGATAGGTTTCAGTTTGGGGAGATGATCGAAACCCCAACAAGGACTCCAGATAGTGGCACGGTAGTCAGACAGACAACATTATAAAGGCTCATTATATTGACACTTGGAACCTTAGACCTGAGTTTGAAATTCCAACAGCCAATCCCAGTATTAAAAGCTTTCTTGGTGGCTGACACTGTTAATTCAAATCCCAAAATTTTCATTTAAGTGAAACAATTGTAAATTCCATAAAAATTACAATGGAATTTAAACTTGATAATACTTTAGACTCGATTTTTGTAATAATTTCAACGAGCACAAAAATATATTTTTTCTGTGTATTGATTAATAATTAAGGACAGTTTGTGCAAAAAAGACACTCTGACAAGTCAGTGATTGGGTATTAAATATAGCTTTCTTGTTTAGTTCACATTATAAAGTGCTAAAAGGTTTCTTTTATAATTTATAAAAATATAGAAGATGATATGCTGGACATTGGAAATGCTGAAATATGTTTGAATGATCACCAAGTGGATAAAACCACTGAACACTGGTTGATTGTGGGTTTGCGCCTAGCCAACAGGTCACCCATGTGGTGTTTTTCAGGATTTTTCTACATTAGTAACACCTAAATGGAGGAGGGTAGTTTCCCATCAAAAGTCTTCCTGGGAGGCATCCACTTGGCAGATGCCCATGTGTCACATTGCCATAAACAAACAAACCAGACCAAACCATGTTTAATGACAAATTTGCAGGAACAGAATTCAGTCGTTAAGGGAGGTGTGGCTTTATTATGTTTGATTCCAAATGCCATTGACAATAACAAAATAAAATAGGCATAAATATAGAAATTTGAATGATAACACACGTCATTTGTTTATATTGTTGCTATTGATTTTTTCCCCTTACTTCTCTGTCCGGTGTGCACTAAGAAAATTTTTATTCGTGTCCAATATTGGGATTCAGCCAGGTTTGCAATGGATTTGAGTTGGGTGGTGAGAGACGGGATGAAATCGTCAAAATCACCCATGAAATTTTGAGAACTCTAATCTGAGTCCCGTAGAATAGTGAGATGATGCTTTGGGGGGAGCAAATAACCAGATGGCCAAAGCTAGCCAGTTATTTTTTATATTAATATCAATAATTAATGATAAAGATTATAAAACTTGGTGCACACTGTATATAAATAAAACCATTAATAAATATTTGACTTCCTGAATTAGCAAACAAAATAGATGTTTTTGTTCAAAATCAGGCCATCCATCGTCGTCATGAGATTTTAACAGCAGTGTATGCAAATTTATTTTGGCCACTGGTGGGCCACAACTATCAGAGTGAATAAAACCATCAAACACTGGGTATGGGTTTGAGTCTCACTGACAAATCAACCAGGTGAAATTCGGGATTTCTTCATGTTAACTCCTAAATAGGGCTAATTTCCCATAGAAAGTCATCCCCACTCGGCAGATGGCCCACGTGTTGCGTTGCTTCAGATAAATCAAACTTCTGATAGTCACCTGCCAATGATAAGGAAACAGGATGCCATTTTGACTGTTGATACTTGTCTCATGTTCAGATGATTCTTTCTCCTGGTGGTCTGGAGCCATTTCACTACATGTGTGTGCTCTCGTGTATACAGTGTCCCGACACCTTTTTATGGTCGGGTCAGAACAGCCCAATTTGGCAAAATGACCACTTTTTCTTAACCATGCTGAATGGGTCTGGCCATGTAAATTTTTTGACTTAGTTAGCAACAGGAACAACTACGAAGCATTGGTCAACTTCATGAACGGTACGTACATTGTTACGAATCAGGTCCTAGCTGCCAGTCGTGGAGGACATCACTCACAACATTAGAACAGCACAAACTGTATCCTCTTCAAAGTACTATAAATGTGAAGCAGGTATTCTCTTATGGACTCTCAGTTGTGCTTTGGCATAAGGCTACTCGGTCACCTTTTGTTATTCGCAGTTTTGTAATACCTGCAAATCGTAGTGTTAGTCAGTGTGCACACCTCCATCTCTATAAATTGTAAATTCCTGTTCTTTGTGCCTCACTGTTTTGTGATGTCACCTGTGCCCTCCGAAGTCTGAAGGAAGCATTGTATGGCTTGTTCTGTTTTCAACAATCTGGTGTTATGTTTTTGCGTGGGCTCTACATTGTTACCCTCTGGAGCCAAGGGGGCATTTTCTTTGTTACCCCATCCTCCCACCAGGTTGGGGCTCTACTCCCATAATTTCATTGGGAAAAACTCAAAACCAACGGCTGTCCTAGGGTTTTCCCTCTCCTCAAAGTGCGTGTTTTCTGTTTCCTCATTGTATGTATTGTACTTTTATTGTTATTCTGGTATCCCATTCTCCCCATCGGGTAAGTGGGAAAATATATTGTCACTTGCATCCTCTGTGTCTGGAATGAGCATTGTATCCATTGCTCAGTTTCCAGCCATCTGGTGCACTATACATAGGTGTCAGTTCCTAATTGTTACCTCCCTGGAGCCAAGGGGGCATTCTCTTTGTTTTTCCATCCTCCCCACCAAGTAGGAGGGGCTATAAATATGCGGCTTTGAGGAGAATCTCAAAGCCAAAGGCTGTTTTAAGATTTTCCCCCTCAAAGTGCTGAGGCTTGTTTACTGTTCTCAAGTGTATTGTATTTTATTGTAATTCTATTGTGACTCTGGTTGTCTTAATATGGGACCTGGTAGCTGTTCTGGATCTCATATTTTCACACTTTCCTATCATTCTTTTCTTTCCTTCACTCTTCTCACTTCAGCTAAACTCTTCATTCTTCCTTTTCAAAGGTTCTTCCTTATACTACGTTTGTACACAATCCACGACTCACTTTGATCTTGATTTATCTATTTTTTATTTCTTTGTTGATAGCCCGACACATGTTCCGCAGCCATTTTGTATTTTCTCGCATGCCTGAGATTGTGGGATCTCTCTTATGACTGGATCTAGTTTCAAGAACTCTCTTGGGTCGATCATGATTGAACCTTGTTTCAGTTGAGAGAGGTTGCACCATGGCATAGTCACTGACCTTGATCACATTCTAGATTGAAATGCTCAGTGCAAATGGGATATTAAGGTTAGGCCTTCTCTCCTTTGAAAAAATGTGAATGTTTCTGGTGACGTTATATGGGCACACCCGGCGTTTGAAGAACCGCAAATAATGGATGCATTGAAAATTCTGAACACGGGGAGTCTCCAAGAGCATTTGTCTAGATACCAGGGTAGAATTTTAAAGCACTCTGACAACATTACTTGGTATACCCGTATGCTAAATTTTACAGTTCTAACAAGTGTATAACTTTTTTGTCAACGAATGTATATATAAAATATTTTATACTAGTTAAATAATAGTCTAAGAAGAATGGTCTCACCATTGGCCAATCGGTTCCGTTCCCTGAACACTGGGAGTTCGGTTGTGGTTCGCACCTCGTCAGGCCACGTGGAGAAAACCCTTTTCCGGGATTTCTCCACATCTGTAATGCCTGAATACTCTTATGCCAGTTACCCTTAAAAAAGACCTCCCGGAAGGCATCCCTCCTGGCAGATCGCCCAAGTGTTACATTGTCATAACTTAACAAAACAAATAAAGAAGAATGATAGTTGGAAAGCTGTTTATCAGATAAATTAATTTGAAATTTATGTGACTACAATGGGCATTGAATGAGTCTGGTTTTGTTCTTTATAGTTAAAACATTACTTTGATGCTTGTCTTGTTGAACGAACATTTCCAGAAATTTATACTTTAGTTCATACATAATAATGAAGTGTATTGTTAACATTTGTGTTCTATAAAGTTTAGTTTACTTGTTTGCATTAATGCAACATGTGGATGGTCTGCCTATGGGGACTTCTCCAGAAAGGACTTTTTATGGGAAACTGGCCCCTATTTAGTAGTAATTAATACGAAGAAAAGTTGGAAAATTCCACGTGGTCAAGGTGTGAACCCATGACTAGTGTTTGGTGGTTTTATCCACTCTACCACTGGTGGGCATCCTATCCTGTAAAGTAATTATATAATAATGCCAAAGGAAATCCTGTAAATATGGTCATGTATAGAAAGACGAAATGTAAATAACAATCTCTATGAATATGGATGCAATTTTTAAGATTCTTTTTGTTGTTGAAATTCCAGATAGAAAGAGCATAATTAATACCTAATCTTTTACTTTAGGGGCTGTGGAATCTCAAGCATTTCAAGCACTGAATCCCGAAGATAAGAAACGTCAAAGTTACATCCACGAACTGATCAACACCGAAGAGGATTACATGGCAGACATGGCCATTGTCTTGGACGTAAGTGAAATTTATATATTTTAAATCGTAGGATTGAGCGTCTAATCTCGAGTAACGGCGCCCTGGACATCGTGGCTCGCTCGACTCGAGACTAGGCTCACATTTTCCATTTTGCAGACCTTTCACAAACCCTTGCAAGAGGTGCTGTCCAAAAAGGAATTGCAGATTATTTTCGTCAATTGGAGCGAGTTAATCATCTGCAACACCAAACTTCTCAAGTAAGTGGATCAAAGTTAATTCGTGGGAAAAATGGCACGCTTTCTGAATGTTTTCTTAACTTGCAGAGCTCTTCGAGTGAGAAAGAAAATGAGCAATAATAATATTATACAGATAATTGGAGACATTTTATGCGAAAACGTAAGTTGACTTTTTGACATACGCGTAAATTAATTTCAGTTTTCCAAATTTAGAAGTCGATTCTCGTTTTGTAGTTGCCCCACTTCACGCCCTACATAAGGTACTGCAGTTGCCAACTGAATGCCGCAATTCTCATACAACAGAAAACTGACAACGTTCCGGAATTCAAAGAGGCAGCCAAGGTTTCATTTTATTATTTGGTTCTAGGCAATACCACACCAGAAAAAGTTTAATAGACCACTCTGTACCAATGATGTACGCAGTCTATAAAATGCTAGTCCCAATGGAACATCAACTGTTTTTCTATGGTGATACGAATTACAGTCGATCCCCCTATAACACGGGTTCCTATAGTTCGGATTCCTATATCACGGCGAAAACATTGCGACAGTATTCGTACAAACATGCTAAAAAAACTCCTATAATTCGGTAAAACGTCATCGCCGACTCGTGTCGCGACAGGATTGATCGAATCTAGACCAATAGCAAATATTGCACAAACCGTTGAGTTTAAACGAGCAGCAGATCTACTAAAAACCATTTATTATTTAACGTCCATAAAAATTATATTTAAATTAATGATGTTTCCAAAAGCGCCATTCGATGGCAAGCTCCATGACGAAAACAAGCTTAAGCAATGGCGTAGTCGAACGGTGCACGCTCGGTAAGTAATCTTACAGTTTTTTGTTTATAGCATAGTTTATATGGGTTATTCCCAAAAAATTATACGTATTTTGGAAATGTTGAGTCGAATTAGTCTAGAATCGATTAATTTTATGGAAGAAACCTTTCAAACAGCCGTAGTCCGTAAACTGCATACGTGCCGGGCTGTGATTGGCTGGACTCGTAGAAAATGGATTCATAAAAACCGGAATGTATCTACCGTGTTATAGTGGGGAAGCCTGTACTTATGTTCCAGTTTTAAACTTTAATTAAGTAACAGCAAGATGTTCAATGTAAATTTATAATAATAATTACAGTAAAACCTTACTTATGTGGCCATCTTTGGAGTGTACCTTTCTGGTCACGTGTGTGAGTTGGTTGCGTTAATGGGTTATGAAAAAAATTGACGTAATTAGAGTATCTTACTGAATACAGATTATTAAATAAATAAAATATTCAAATGATACCGTGCTGTACATCTTTGTAATACGCTATAATTCAAACTTTCATACTTTAACACAGAATATTGAAATACAGACTACATTTATAGCGATTGCAAGCTGTTCGTAGTATAATGCATTCTGGTAAGTAGACAATTGTCTGGGCATTGGAAAAAGTCTTAATAATTGAACTAGCTTTTACGTCACCGATACGAGTGACGTATCGGTGACTCAGACCAATCGTTGCCAATTTGAAGTACATTTTTCAGTCATGGGAACGGATCACTATTTCTCACTTTTTCTGCTGTTATGGGCAATGGCATTTTTGATGCCAAGCTGTTACGTGTTACTGCATTAACTAATGTTTAAGTACGGCACTTAAATTGCTACACCCAAAACTTTCTTGTTGTATGTTGAAAACTTCACGTTAATACGTGATTTTCGAGGTCTTAAATATATTAGTTACACAATATCATAAATTTGAGAGCATGTGGTCTTATGTGGACAGTATTTTAATTCCTTCTGAGCCCCTCATAATTAACCTTCACGCCTTCAATTTGAGGGTAGGTGTTAATACACCAGTCTAAAAATGAAAACCAAGTGCCAAAAAATGATAAATAGTGTCGTTTTAAATTGTTTGTTTATTGTTTTAATAATTTAACTAGATGGACCTATTATATACTGTTTAATGTTCCATAAATATCCACTTTGAAAAAACAGTAACAAAAGACAAATACAAAATTTCTTAATGCCCAATGTGACATCCTTGAGCCAAAATTAAATTAAATACATGATTAGGGATTAATTTCATTAAAGTTTACGAGTGTTTTCTTCAATTTCCTTCCATTTTGCTACTATTGCATTCTTCAGTTCCTATACTGTGTAGTATTGCTTGTCTCCTGCATACATGGTTCTAGCAAACAGCTCCCACAGGTTCTCATTGGGGTCGAGATCGGGACTACAAGGTAGCCAGTCCAAAACTGGCACTCCATTACTCAAAAAGCATTCATAAGTGGACTTAGTATTGTGTATCGAGGCTTGTCCTGTTGGTAGATTCATCTTGGGCCTCCTATTTTCTCTGCAAATGGTAAGAGATGTTTCTCCAGCATTTCTCGACAGTCATTTACATTCATTCTGGCCCATACGAATACCACATTAGACTTCCCATTCTGTCTGAATGATGCCCAAATCATCACAATTGCCACTTTGACGTTGAACATAACTGTTCTTCTCGTTTTAAACTGTGCCAACAATCCACCTTTTTCTTTCAAATACATCATTTCTTTGGCTCATTTTGATCTCTTCTGCTTGTGTACTTTCGTTAAGGCAGAGGTGGGTTTTCTTTAACTAAAGAAATTGGCCCGAGTGAACTCAGAAAACTGTAGCAAGGAAGCTTGATTCCATTTAGGGTGGCCACAAAGAGAGGTTCTACTGAAATTGTGTTTATTTAGGAATATTTTTATGTGGTAAAAGTTTTTTTTCTGTAATTTGATATTTTAATAATCGGTATCTCGACAGNTCCACACTAAAATCATTATTTCTAAATCTTTCAAACCACTTCTGCGCAGTCCTTACACTAATTACAGTTTGATTATGAACAGTATTTAATTTTTTGGCTGCATTTGTAGCATTCTCATCACTTAAAAATAAAAAGTATAAAACATGTCTCTTATATTCATCTGTTACTTCCATTTTAACAAAACTAAACAACTGAAATGTTCCCAATTCTGAACAGTATTATATGAATGAGATCCAATTTAACACTTTAACATTTTAATATAAAAAGTATCACATTAGACTGGCATTTTTAACAGCAAAACAAGATTTTTCTCAAGATCATAAAATACGCACGAACTTATGGACTGACCTGATAGTTTTCTATCTATTTTGATGCGTATATGTATGCAGCTTTGTTGCTGTCTGTCTGAAAAGGGATAGGTTTCAGTTTGGGGAGATGATCGAAACCCCAACAAGGACTCCAGATAGTGGCACGGTAGTCAGACAGACAACATTATAAAGGCTCATTATATTCTGACACTTGGAACCTTAGACCTGAGTTTGAAATTCCAACAGCCAAGCCCAGTATTAAAAGCTTTCTTGGTGGCCGACACTGTTAATTCAAATCCCAAAATTTTCATTTAAGTGAAACAATTGTAAATTCAAAAAAAATTACAATAGAATTTAAACTTGATAATACTTTAGACTCGACTTTTGTAATAATTTCAACGAGCACAAAAATATATATTTTCTGTGTATTGATTAATAATTAAGGACAGTTTGTGCAAAAAAGACACTCTGACAAGTCAGTGATTGGGTATTAAATATAGCTTTCTTGTTTAGTTCACATTATAAAGTGCTAAAAGGTTTCTTTTATAATTTATAAAAATATAGAAGATGATATGCTGGACATTGGAAATGCTGAAATATGTTTGAATGATCACCAAGTGGATAAAACCACTGAACACTGGTTGATTGTGGGTTTGCGCCTAGCCAACAGGTCACCCATGTGGTGTTTTTCAGGATTTTTCTACATTAGTAACACCTAAATGGAGGAGGGTAGTTTCCCATCAAAAGTCTTCCTGGGAGGCATCCACTTGGCAGATGCCCATGTGTCACATTGCCATAAACAAACAAACCAGACCAAACCATGTTTAATGACAAATTTGCAGGAACAGAATTCAGTCGTTAAGGGAGGTGTGGCTTTATTATGTTTGATTCCAAATGCCATTGACAATAACAAAATAAAATAGGCATAAATATAGAAATTTGAATGATAACACACGTCATTTGTTTATATTGTTGCTATTGATTTTTTCCCCTTACTTCTCTGTCCGGTGTGCACTAAGAAAATTTTTATTCGTGTCCAATATTGGGATTCAGCCAGGTTTGCAATGGATTTGAGTTGGGTGGTGAGAGACGGGATGAAATCGTCAAAATCACCCATGAAATTTTGAGAACTCTAATCTGAGTCCCGTAGAGTAGTGAGATGATGCTTTGGGGGGAGCAAATAACCAGATGGCCAAAGCTAGCCAGTTATTTTTTATATTAATATCAATAATTAATGATAAAGATTATAAAACTTGGTGCACACTGTATATAAATAAAACCATTAATAAATATTTGACTTCCTGAATTAGCAAACAAAATAGATGTTTTTGTTCAAAATCAGGCCATCCATCGTCATTATGAGATTTTAACAGCAGTGTATGCAAATTTATTTTGGCCACTGGTGGGCCACAACTATCAGAGTGAATAAAACCATCAAACACTGGGTATGGGTTTGAGTCTCACTGACAAATCAACCAGGTGAAATTCGGGATTTCTTCATGTTAACTCCTAAATAGGGCTAATTTCCCATAGAAAGTCATCCCCACTCGGCAGATGGCCCACGTGTTGCGTTGCTTCAGATAAATCAAACTTCTGATAGTCACCTGCCAATGATAAGGAAACAGGATGCCATTTTGACTGTTGATACTTGTCTCATGTTCAGATGATTCTTTCTCCTGGTGGTCTGGAGCCATTTCACTACATGTGTGTGCTCTCGTGTATACAGTGTCCCGACACCTTTTTATGGTCGGGTCAGAACAGCCCAATTTGGCAAAATGACCACTTTTTCTTAACCATGCTGAATGGGTCTGGCCATGTAAATTTTTTGACTTAGTTAGCAACAGGAACAACTACGAAGCATTGGTCAACTTCATGAACGGTACGTACATTGTTACGAATCAGGTCCTAGCTGCCAGTCGTGGAGGACATCACTCACAACATTAGAACAGCACAAACTGTATCCTCTTCAAAGTACTATAAATGTGAAGCAGGTATTCTCTTATGGACTCTCAGTTGTGCTTTGGCATAAGGCTACTCGGTCACCTTTTGTTATTTGCAGTTTTGTAATACCTGCAAATCGTAGTGTTAGTCAGTGTGCACACCTCCATCTCTATAAATTGTAAATTCCTGTTCTTTGTGCCTCACTGTTTTGTGATGTCACCTGTGCCCTCCGAAGTCTGAAGGAAGCATTGTATGGCTTGTTCTGTTTTCAACAATCTGGTGTTATGTTTTTGCGTGGGCTCTACATTGTT